CTGGTTGTGTGTGATCCTCCAAGGCGCAGCTTCCAGAAACTTCATTCCCTTCTCGTATATTGAGAGGCGATCACCTTCGATTCCTAGGAGTGTATTTTTTATTGTAGCCAGCTTTAACCTTTCAAAAGTCCCCTAGGACAGTGTAAGGTCTGTTTTGTTACCGGCGATCGGCTTTGTCTCTTCGTTCTCTGTGTGCGGCCTCTTTCGGGGGGCGGGAGGGGGGGGCCGCCGCCAGCCATGGGGCCAGGCGGATGGGCGGTCCAACCGATTCGTAGCGCATGCGGCGGGGTATGCGCACTATGATGTGCTGCTGCAGATGCCGGCGGAGTGCCTGAGGGGTGGCGGGCAGGCTCGGTGCGGTTGGAGGTGTTTTATGCCGAGACCGATACGCTCACGGGGGATGGCGGCGTGGCGTCTAAGCCGGGGAAGTGGTTTGATGGGCTGTGGGAGGGGGGCGTGCGGGACGTGGTAGATTACGGCAGTAAGACGGTTAAGGGGGCAGATCATGATGGTATTTGGTGGTTGAGGTGGGGGGCGGTGCAGCAGGTGTTTGAGGCAGCCGGAGGGGCTGGGGAGCGTGACGAAGCCAGAGACATGTGAGCTTATAGGGCTTGGATCGAATGCAGTTGATGGTGCCACGACCGAACATATAGCCGTCTGCAATAGAGAGGATTGTCTTTTGATCCCAGAAAATACGCAGTACGTTATATGGCACACATTTGCCTTCTTGCTTTACCCGTACTAACCCTTGCTGATCACCACACAGATAAGACCCTCCCTTGCCTCAATTTTCGGCAGGCTCATCTCCTGTGAGCCCGTCCTCAAGGGCCTGTAGAGGGTTGATTTGTTTCGAATCTTGGCCGTGGATGTAACGATCGGCTTCGGTGACTTTACGGGTGTTATCAGGGTCAACAACATCGGAGAGACGCTCGCCATGAAACAGACCCCGGGGGTAAAGTTTAAGCGAGAAATCGTTCACACCCCCAAATATTCTGCACATATCTTCAGCTGAGATGTAGCTACGCTCTGCGCCCCTGGGATTTACAAGAATATCTGGGAAATGGTATTTCTTCTTCCGAAGCTCATCCAGAGCCCGTTTCCAGGTACCGTTGCGCATACGGACCCGCTTCAGCTGGAAGCAGATCATCGATTCCGGCCAATGCTTTGAGGACGACGATTAGCTTAGACAAGTCGGTGGAGAGTCCACTGAAGCCAACACGAGTGAGATTCTTTCGAGACCTCGAGCCCATAATTTTGCCCAGATCTATAGGTTCCAGACCATCTGTGTCGCGCAAGTTATCAAGTACGTTGACACTTTGCAAGCTACAAGTGTCCAAGCAGGCAAATAATAACTCGTTAAGATTGCCCGCCTTTGGGTCACGCCCTATCCTACCGAGGGCAAAGTCGAAAACCCTTAGCTCCTGCATACACAGCGAGAGCTGATTCCGGATATCCGGGGCAAGCACCAGGCTCCCCGGGCCTCCAATGTTGCCTAAGGAAACGGAGATGCCATTGAGCAAAACGCCCTTGTGTCGAAGCTTAATCACCAAATCGATAAGGAATGAGTAGCTGGGAAGTGGCCCGAGGTTGTATCTGTGCGTATGTGAGCTGCTAGTTGGCGCAAGCATATAGTTAGAGAATTGACTCCAAACGTCGGGGCTGGCTGGAATCGGCAGTACATCCGTCCAACAATAATCAAATACATCACCCACTTGTAAGTACCGCGCACCTGGGAGTCTTGCCATAGCAGAGGCAACAACCCGGGAAAACTTCCCGCTTGTTACCAGCAACTCCTGCCTCTTGAGGCGGGCCACATACTCTTGATGAAGCTCCACTGCCCATTCTCGATCCTCTTCTTCTCGCTCGCCGTGCCCGCCAATGTTGTAGTCTGGCGATGCAAGGCGTTCTAGGAATGAGGCGATGGCTTTTGCGTTTGCAATCATCTCATCTACCACCGAGGGGTCTTGTTCCGGGTTAGATTTGTAGATATAATCTGGGTTCGCATAGTGGGAAATGACCTTAGCGTGATATGAGACGTACCGACTGAAATCGGTGAAAGCAGGGGCGTAGAACAGGGGACATATTCGAATGACGCGAACGCCTTTTGCAAGCGTGGGATGGTGCGATATTTCTTCCAGGCGCTTGAGTGAATGTTCCTCGTCGAGGGCAATGCTCACAACGGGGATAACCTTCTGCGAGGCTAGCTCGCAAAATCGACGACAGACTAGGCGTGTATTCACCAAACTCTCGAAACCCTCGCCACAAGGACAGTCCCAGCCACGCAACGGAAACTCAGAGTCGAGAACGATGAAGTGGTCGAATATTTCGAGCAGAAGCTCGTTGGGCAAATCTAGAATTGTCAAATTTTGCGGATACGGGCGCGAGAGCTCATAAGCGGCGTCAAGCTTTGGGCAGTTTTCAGGGATTGACATTGTTTTCCTGAGTGATATGGTGCCATCAGGGTGCCCCTGGTTAACGGACTATTAATCAATCCGAGAGACTAGGAGTTAGTACCTATTTTTAAGTACCCAAGTTTATGAAAGAGAAACTTTGGTTGCCTGTGATATGAACTGTGTCGCGGCTAGAGCACCTAGGCCCTGGGAATTGTATCTGCATTTCACAACATGTGCTATATGTTCACAGGTCCACATGACTACTAGGAGGTAACTAGCTACACACCTGTTGTTGGGGCTGCCAACACCCTATAAGGAGACACAACAGTTTCGAGAGGAGCGGGCAAAATTAGGCAAGGACAATGTGGCTGTCCAAGTACTTAAGGTAGTTACTTACTATGGGTCCAAAGAACTTGTTCTCTGTAACCGGTCGTTATTCCAGTGTCAGTACATCCAAACACATGAAAGCTGGGGGCTTTCCCAAACCTACGGTCTGGCACCAAAAGCAGTAATACCACGAACATGGGCTCCCATCTCACTCCGAGCCATCCGACCCCAACGCCAGGCGTCACTCATTCCTCCCCCCTTCGTCCACAACAAACCCCAACCCACCCTTAGGGGATCACCTCCCTATCCCACCACATCCCTCATCGTCTACTTCCACCCCTAGATTCATGGACCCCTGCAGTCCCAACCCCGAGTCACACACGGCACGTAAGATCTCCCTGGCACGCCCCAGCAGCGCACCTGTCGCTGAACCCCCCGCGCCCCCCCACCTCACAGAGGGCACACCCCACCCGGGACCATTTCGCGCGCAGATGTGTACATACACGTGCAGACAGCCAGGCTCGTGACAGGGGGTCTTCGCAGGCGCAGGCGTTAGGAGGCGAGGAGGCGAAAAGGCGGCGAGGCGGCGGTCGGGGGCCGTTCGGTGTTAGTGTGCTCCGCATAGCTAGCTGTTGGGGGAATGCCCCGAGGCGGGCTGGAGGGCTTGGAGCGGAGAGGGTGGCAGTGGGTGGATTTTGGGGTTTGGTTATGCTCTGAACTCAATGACATGGAGGTAGCTGCTAGGGACATGGTTTTGGTACAGGGCCGAATCGTGCAGGTGGTGGTACAAAGCCCATATCGTACTCTTTTTGAACCTTTGTATGTTCGCGGCAGGGCTGGTGGTAAGGAGACAGCTTAACTCACGCCGGTGTCAAGCAGAAAACCGGAATCCTAACTGCCTACCTACTCCAGGCCTTCCCTTCTGTTGCGGGTATGCATTCAATGAGTGCCTCAGCTATGTGTGTGCCCCTGTGCCTCTGATAGGATCCTGGCCTGAGACCACCGCTGGTTTTGGTTTGGGCGACATCATGGCTCATGCTGGGTGGTGATTAAACGTCTTGCTGATATTAATGGCCAACGGGGCTGGGTCGGTCTGCAACCGTGGCTGGGAGCCAAGCCAAAGCAATTGTGGCCGTATGTGTGCTTGGTTACGGTGGGTAGGTACCTAGGTAGGTATTCGATGACCGTTGGGAGCTTACCTAGGCGAGCAAGGAACGCGCAGATGGTGTACCAATGGTGGGCGTCTGGGTACTTGTGCAATAAGAGCCTTTGAGTTTCTTGTGGGGTGGACAACTCAGATTATATACCTGATGCAATTCTGTGTTGCAAAACAACCCGGGAGAATCCTGTTTTCACTTCATGGTAGTTTGAGAGTAACTGAAAAGTTCTTGATAAAACAGGCATTTACGTTGACAGATACTTTGACCAAGGTACCTAGGAGGCTGGGTTCAAGCCCTGCCCAAGGAAGAACTTTTCTGAAGGATAGGTACGTGTAGGAACTAGGCCCTCGCCAACCACCAGATCACTGAGATCAGACGACCAGCCATCGACCAAAGCCGACGACCTACTACGCTAGATATCATTTGATATTACCTACACGACCCATACCAGTCTTCCCTTGCTTCCACCAGCGTCGATGTCTATCAGTACTTAGGGAGGTATATGCTGCTTCCTTGGTTACTTTGCGGCGCCGAGTTTGTTCTCGGGGGGCTATAGCAGCGGATTGGTTTGCTGCATATCTTGGCCGGCGATGTAACGGTCCACTTCGCTGACCTTGACGCGGTCAGATGTGCCGTCGTGGTCGAGATTGTGGCCAAATATATTTCCTTGTTTTCTCCATGACATGGAGTTAACCTCTGCGCCTCTGGGAATCCTAAGAATATTTTTCTTGACATGATACTGCTTGTTCCGAAGCTCATCCAGAGCCTCTTTCCAGGTGCCGCTGCACAAGCGGATAGTAGACAGTCCGAGCCGGGTTATCGACTCGGGCAATGCGTCGAGGAAGGCTATTAGCTCGGATAGGTGGACTGACGACCCTTCAATGACGACATGAGTGAGCTTCTCCCGGGCCCTCGACTCCAGGGCTTTTCCCACATCTATTGCCTCCTCCGTGTTATTCGCGTAGGTGTTGGAGTGTGTAAAGAGGCCGACATCTTGTAGGCTGGAGGTGTCCAGGCAAGCGGATAAGAAGTCGTTGAGATCAGCCCCGGGCGGGTGGTGCGGCAGGCCCTCAGAATGGACTGTGATGTTAAAGTTCATCAACTGTTGCATACTCAACGAGAGCTTTTTCCGAATGTCCAGGGGAAGCGCCAGACTCCCGGGAGTTCTTATAGGGCACAGGCCAATATCGATCCCATTGAGTAAAACACCCTCGTGTCTGAGAGCAATCATCAGTTGGACCAAGCATTGGTAACTGGAAAGCCCAAGAGCGTGCCTCAGCATTTTTGAATTGGACATCGGGAGACGCATAGACTTGAATACGATGTCCCCGACGTTGAGGTTGTTGGGCCATAGTATGGGCCTACTGCCAATACCTGCTTCACCGAACTGTAGGTCCCGTGCATCTGGCATCCTTGCCATGGCAGAGGCAACAACACGAGAGAACTTCCCGCTCGTCATCAGTAACTCCTGGTTTTTAAGGAGGGTTACATGCTCCCGATGGATGGCCTCGATGTGTGCTCGATTATTTCTTGTTTCTTCGTTCTTGCCGTCTCCGCCAATGTCGTGGTTTGGCGATGTAAATCGGTGCAATGTCCTCGCGACAACTCTTGCGTTTTCTACCAGCGCATATATTACTGAGGGATGCACATCAGGGTGTCTATCATAGCCCCACGACTCTAGCTCGCTGGCCTTGTGCCGAAGTTGGTCCACGTAGTATGAAATGAACTGATTGAAATCGACGAAAGCGCGGTTGTGAAACTCGGGGAATGACGCGAATAAGGCGAACTCCCTTTGAAAACATGGGATGATGGGATATCTGTTCCAAACGCGCAAGCGATCCATCGTCGAGCTTAATGCTCACGACGCGGATGAGTTGCTCCGAGGATAGGTCATGGAATCGACGACATACCAAACGTGTATTCCTGATATATTCAATATCCTTCCGCCAGCGCGGAAAGTACCAGTCGTGGCATGGGGGTCTAGGGCGAAAGCCGCATTCCAAGTACTGGAATATTTCTAGGAGGAGCTCGTTGGGCAAATCTAGAATGGTCAAGCCTCGCAGATATGGGCGTGAAAGCTCGTTTATGCGGTTTCGAAGATCGCCCCGTATGACCTCAAAATCCCGCATCGACTCTCCCAGTTGCTTCACTTCTCTCTTTATCTTCCGCCGAGCCAACACCCGGTGACCATGGTTCAAGGAGGTCAAACAATCATGATGAGTTTCCCACCACTGTGACTCGGATGGTATCTGGTCTCCAAACCCTTCTTGTCTGTACCGGGCGAACTCTGCTGGGTTATATTCCTGTTGCTTAGGGGTGTACGAAAACGTTAATGTCTTCAAGCAACAGTATTCGCGCCACTCCTCCTGATACCGTTCGTCCCCAATGCGGAGCCGCTCATAAGCGGCGTCGAGCTTTTTGTAATCTTCAGGGACCAACATGGCTTTTCTTGGGCGATGTGGTGCGGTCGGGGTGGTGTGACGAACCTACTTCAGGACCCTGTCCTGTTAGGGTTCAGCTTCGGTTGAAGGTAATCTCTCAAGGGTGCTTAGGTTCGGTGCAGCCAAAGGGTGCACAACAAAGGCTTGTCTCAACAGTAGGCTTCCGAGCTTGTAGCGAACTGTAGTTGTGATTGCTAACTGGAGAACTCCCAGAGCTCTCCAGAACGAGTGACTATATACTAACTAAGTCCTGGGTACCTCCGTACCTGGATCGAAGAATACTTCCATGATCCTGCGATCCGTTCTGGATCATTAGATCGTTCCTCGATCCAATGATCCATTCCTGATTGGTCACCCCTGGATTGCGTCTACAGCTCATGATCCGGTTCCCATGGCAGGAGGCCCTTCTTTGCTGATTGGCTCGGGGCACTACCAGCGTGCCCCGCCGGGTTGCATGCGACCATATTCGTGACAGGTGGTTGGCGGACCAATCGGTCTTGGAGACTGGGAGTTGGTATCTTAAGTAGATTTCCGAAAGAGAAAATTTACGTGTTCACACATCTCCATAACTGATCACTTGTTCTATGTTGTGGTCTAATTGCCAACATTGAGCCCCCCTAACCACGTGCAGGCAAACTCCAAGGATGCACAGTAGGTACCTAGGTACCTTAGGTTTGAGAGCAATTAGGGCCAAAGAACATGTTCTCGACAACCAGGGTCATTCCACGGCCAGCACAGGACATGTTATCAAACAACGATAACAGCATTGAGTGATGCCGGCACCAAGGTTGGCCCCAACAGAGCCCCTATTTTCACCATGAAAGCCGGGAGCCTTCGCAAAAACCAACGGGTTGAACTGCACACCAAAAGTACTTATCTAAGGTAGTAGTACGTCTTACTCCGAGCAATAACACCAATATCACTCATTCCCACCACCCTTGGAATACCAATTCCCTCTCCTACTCATTCAACCCCCAGAGCCCCGAGGCATTTCAGCCCCACCTAACCTCGAGTCTCACACGCGGATCTCCCTGGTGTATCCCAGCAGCGCATCCGTCACTGAAGCCGCGGCATTCTAGCTGCCCAGTTCAGATCCTCCCTTTGGTTGCGGGTACCTATGTATTCCATGAATGTATCAGGTATATGTGTGTCCCCGTACCCGGATAGGACCCCAACCTGGGGCCGTTATGTGCCCACAGGCGCTTGTTCCAATTTGGGCGACATCACGGCTCATCCATTGCTCAGAGAGGGGAGGGAGGTGGAGTGGAGGGATAAATGGGGCTGGATCGGTCCGTGTTGATATTGCCATTAGTTTCGTACTGGTGACGGCGACTAGGCTTCTTGTATAGGTTCAATGTGCTGTGTCAACGTCGCGCCTCTCGACACCAAGTACATGTACATATATGAACAACAAAAGATGTAGCATCGTCATCTCGTCTGAAGGTTTCAGGGAGTTACCGCGAGCAATGAAACAGAGGCTGGCTTGTCGTTGAGAATAGCCCCGGTTGCTCCGGCCGAATGTTGCCGTTTTAGGAAACTCGGGTCGGCCTCTCGCCCACTTTTCCGGCCCGGGTCCGGGTTTGACTCGGCACTTCGTTTTCACAAGTACAAATACGAATCTGTTGGTTTCGATAGCGGCGGCGCAATTCCCCGTGAAAGAAACACCAACATCATCTTAGCGGCGAAAAAAAAAAAAAAGAGAGAGCTTGTTTTTGTGCTGAGATGCAGTGTTATAAACACACGACACAGTGGAAATCCTAAGCGGCCAACCCCTTACCGCGTTCAAAATGGGTTCCACAACCAGATACGTACGGTACGTGTACAGGCCGGGGGACCCGCAGCCACCATCAACTGGGTCAAGAGGTTTCTAGGCGAGCGGCGGCAACCACAACAAGCAGAAGTTCAGAACCCAATGTACTGCTCCAGAAGCTCCCATTCGACAAACACCGAGAGGGCTTCGAGGCAGAGAGCCTCATCTGGCTCTACGATAAAGCCCAAACCACACCGAACGTATCCGGGATTGCTGGCCGAGTCGCGTTAGCCTTCCAGAGCGCCATAGCCAAGGCGCAGCTGGAACTTCTTCGATCAACGGCAGCAACGAAGACGGCACTAGACACCCGCATCCGAGGAAGCCCTGGGACCGAGATGGCCCCGCTCGACCCGAGGACCCGAGGTCGTTTGCCAAATACACCCAAACGTGGAAAAAGGTGGTAGTGTATGTGCTGGGGCTGAGGGCTGTAACGGCTGTTCTGGCCAAGGAACCCGGCTGCGAGGATATCAAGATCCTTTGCTCGTTAACCGAACAGCAGAAGGAGGCAGACGAGCGACTCGCCAACACCACGCCTGACGAAGATGTTTTCCAGCCCTTCATGAAGTTTTCGGCGGAGGTACACGCAGCCCACATCATCACGGTGGCCGGCCCTCTACATGTTGCTTCTCAAGCGCGGTGTGTGCGATGCTAATCGGAGTCATATTCGCGTCTTGATTCTACACAGATCTTCTACTATGCGTGCACCGATTAAAGTTGTATGTACTCTCTTCCTCCCTTAACTTTTACTACGCCATCCTTTTCTTTCTTAAAAAATTTAGGATGGCAACAGGTTATGCGATACGTAAGAATACACATCTAGCCATCTACTACTAAGCAGTCCGCCTTGCATGCTGCCACGTCGGCTTTGCATGAGTTGTGGCGCTTCCCGTCCAATACCGTCCCTGAAGGCTGCAGCTGAGAGGCTGCAAACCTTGAAGTGCAGCATGCATGCACTGCCTTCAGGCAGCGAGGCTCTGCAACGGGCATTTACGGCCTTCATCCTTCACCCCGGCATTGCCACATTTTGAAACCGGGCTATCTGGTGGTTTGAGTTTTTTTTAATGGCAGGGGGGTTAAAACAGAGAAGCAGCGACAGCAGCGCAAACCCGACTGAACAGGCACCATCATCAGACTGCCTCGCAACCAGACAATTCCTCGCCATCTTCAGGTTACAGCCAGGCCCTCTTTGAATCGACAACCGAGGCCCGCACAAAGAAACCATCCCCAGCAGCAATGAAGTCCCCAACAAACCTCGATTCCGCTTCACAAACCAGCCCCCGACATCCCCACCCGACCGCCACCCTTCACCCCCGAAAACGAACTCATCCACTGGCAGCCACCACCACCACCACCACCAACAACCTTAACCCCCCCCAACCCCAACCCCCCCTCCCCTTCACCACCACCACCCCACCCCTCACCACCACCCTCCCCACAATCTTCCTCGACCCCACCACCTCCCAACTCCTGCCCACCACCCCCCACCTCCGCACCTTCCTCCACACCGACCTCTCCCTGACCCGCCTTGACACCGTCTACGCGCACCTGTGGTGGGCCGGCCGCCAGTTCCCCGCGCGCCCGCTGCACCGGCAGGTGCACGAGCTGGGGCGGGCCATCGCGCCGACCTCGCGCGCCGACCTGCACCTGGTGTGGTGTCCGCGGTCGCGGAGGTTGTTTGTCAAGCCGCTGCCGGCGTATTTGTTGTCGTTTGGGTTTTGGGAGGGGTGGTTGGGTGGTGGGGGGGAGTTGGATGCGTGCGCGAGGGGGTTTTTGGTGTCGTATGTGTGGTTGGTGCGGGATGAGTTGGATTGGGTGGTGGCGAGGGAGGCGCGGTTGTTGCCCGACGGGGTGAGTTGGGAGAGGTGGAGGGGGTTTGTCGAGGGGTTGGTTGCTGGTTCGGGTCCGGAGGGTGGGTTGGATGTGAATGGGTTGATGGGGGTGCATAGACGGTTTCATTATGGCGAGTTGAGGGTGAATCGGCTGGATCATTTGTGTTGGGTGCGGTTGGGGACTTTGTCGAGTGGTTTGCAGCTGTTGAGGGGGTATAGTGGGTTTCTGCCGCCGAGTTATAGTGACTTTTTTCGGAGGCGGTTTGGGTGGATTATTATCACGTTTGCGTTTTGTAACACGGTGCTGTCGACGTTGCAGGTTGGGCTGGCTACGGATTCGTTGCAGCCTTTGAAGACGATCCAGGATGTGTCGAGCGGGATTGTGATTTTCAGCTTGGTGGTTCTGGTTGCTACCCTCGTGGTTTCCTTTTTTTTGTATATTTGGCTATTTACATACTTCTTGGTTAACACTCTGGTCGACTGCGCAGAAAGGGAGCAAAACAGATAGCTTATATCGGGTCACTGTGCTGAATGAGG